AATCTTTCCAGGATTAGACTCGAGATTATGTTGAGTATTCGCGTGTCGGGTATGAAACATACATGTTATGTCGCTTGATCGTCTCCGCCTTGTTTTAGATCCGCGATAATGCTGCTTTTACCATATCTCGGCTATTATTTCGATAAGGTTGTTACACGAGGATACGATGTTGAGGAGATCTTATACTATTTTTTTACGACAATGAAAATATAATAATGTCACCTGTGTCGTTACGCTAAAAATTATTTTTACGATTACCGTACATATACCGATCGCCATGTAGAATATCATTCGCGTAAATGCAGAGTGGCTGTCGCATTCGCTTTTACGTACGAGCTTCTGTTATTTCTGAATTCTGGAGTGACCTGAGCTTCCATTAAGTCATACACTGACGCGGAAGGTCTATACGGCGGATGAAATCGCGTGCAAATTATCGTCTTGGCCGGCAGCGTGCAAAGGGTCCTTCTCACCCCTTCCGCAATGCCACCTTCTACCCTATGAAGAATGACAAATGGCCGCCCATTAGGTCGATTTCGTGGTCATTCCGTCATTGCCCTCGCTTCGATTTTGCCGACAAAAAAATTAATTACAACGATTCAGTAGTTGTAATTTCGAAAATTTCGAATTTTTGTTGGAAAGGGCTGTTAGAGACGTTATTGTTAGAAACGGACTCCAAAGTCTACAACGAATGTATACTGACTCTAGGAAATAAATTAATAATCTACGCGAAATAATTAAAAAGAATTCTCGTTCACAAGAACTAAAAAAAAAAATAAAATATTTTTAGAAATATAAAAAAGAAACTATTCACGTTTGAATATTTTATACACATAAAAGATACATGTTTCATAAAAATCTTTGAATTTTTTTCACATTGAGCTCCTCTTTCTCCTGCTATTATGTTTCAACCACTGATGGTCTGCGGCGATTTGTGGGAGCTCTCATTTCCGTCCTACGAATCTGAAATAAAAAAAAATCCAAATTCGTTTTACTTGTTAAATGTTTTTTTTGTATTGAACCACTAAAACGTGGAAAATACAAAATGGCAGCCTGTCAAAGTAAAAGTATCGATGTTTATCGAGTTTAACTTTTACTATGACAGGCTACCATTTTGTCGTTTTCATTCATTGAGGCATTTTAGTGGTTCAATATCAACAACAGCATTCAACGAATAAAACGAACTTTGATTTTTTTATACGTATTTCAGGTTCATAGGACGGAAATGAGAGCTGCCATAAATCACCGCAGACCATCATTGGTTGAATAATAAAGGATCCAATATGACCACAAAAATTCAGAGATGTTCATGAAACATATATATTTAGGTATATCTTTTATGTCTTAAAAGTTTAAAACGTGAATAAATAGTTTTCCTAAATATTTTATGTAAAAAAGTTCTTAAAAATACTTCATTCTTACAGCTCTTATTGTTAGACGAGAATTCTCGCATCTTTAAAATAGATAAATAAAAAGAAATGTGTTTATCTCACAAGATATTTTTGAAATGAAAGATACAAAAGTTGGTATTATATTTTGAATATAACCAAAAATTTTTGAAAAAGTTATTAAAGGTTGATGCTAAGCTGTCTCTATTGGGGGATTTAGATTTTTTTTAAACTTTGTATATGTAAAAAAATAGGTTGTTTTTAAAACGGACTAGATTCTGTAACATATTTTTTATATATATTGTAATAGTGAAAACTGTTATGCAGTTTCTATTAAAACGTTAGCTTGCCATGGTAAGCTCTGGTTTATATTTTACGATGCAGCATGTTTGTAAAAACATAGCGTAAAAAGATCCTCTTTATACTACAAAGTACATTTCTCAATGATGTGCACATTAAAGTTGGTCTTTCTGGTTTTTGCGGTTTCAGTTATTTACCGAAAGTGCACGCTGCATACAGTACTAGATGTTAAAAACCACACAACGCTATAAAAATAAACATATCACTCATCACCGGCATTTACTCACCGTTTTTTTAACGTACTGGACTATGAGATTAGTCTCATTAGGGAGAAATCGAATGTCATTATTTCACGACGCCGGAACGTGGCAAAATAGATGCATCTGGCCTTATGCTATGCGAATAAACACGAAAGCATCGTTAATTAACACGACGCGTTAGTTACGCGTGTGCTGCGTACACGTCGTGTCGGTTGTCTTTTGCCGCTAGCAACACCTGTTGAAGTAGAAGTCAGACGAACCTTATGAAAACATAGGCTAACGTTTCGCCACGCTGTGAAATAATTGTATAACGAAGTCGAGTAATTTCGATCGTAATTAAGTGCCTTTGAATCAGCAACAATTGCAAGAACTTGCTTATATTACGCGTGTATGAAATTTGTTGTCGATAACAATATATATATATATATACTTTATTTTCTCCGAAAGCACTCTGAAATTTCTTCCAAGGCAACGGCGGACCATGAAATTTGCTTGAAGAAAGTTTTGAGGCATCAACTTGCCGCGATCGATTCTAACGCATCTCTTATACTATACATAAATTGCATGCGCGATTGCATTTCTCTATGAAATAACCGAAGATTACTTGTTACATTTTTGTTCCTTCCAGAACCCAAGGGCGGATTTTCTGTCTCCTACATTTCTTTATCAATTAAATCTAATTTATTGAGAAACGACGTTTACTCATTTACTTATACTTTTCCGCAATAATATATATTCATGTAATTGGAATGATAAATGTTATGAGTGTTATTACAATTGACTCATTGTCAATCATAAATGTGTACGTACATTAACCATAAATACCACAACTATAAATCTATTATTGAATTAGCAATCCCTATATTTATAGGGAATAGGCTCAGTGATTGTCAATTATAGCTAACATTTGCTCCTCTGGTCATCCAATATGTCATCAGTGATGATTTGAATATTCCCAGATATTCCTACTATTACACTACTCTCTCAATAAATATAGACATTGAAGATAGTCACTGAATCACCAGAGTTAAAATTTGCGAAAATGTCAAAGGGTGTTCGCTCTTTGTTACAAAATACCAGTGTCATTAATGAAAATCAATAATTGTGTATACTCCAGATTATAGACTATCGGAATTAAATTGAAAAGGAAAACGATTTATTGGTATTTATGTATGTAACATTTATAATAAAAACAAAATAAAGACGAAAATAGATGGCACGATCGTTCGAAAATTTTTTCAAAGGAACTTCGCAAAAGTGCAGAATTGGCGTCACATTATTTTCGCTCTTGCAGCCGAACAAGCTCGAACTCCGCTATTGAAACTCCAATTTTTTTCTCTTCACGTCCCCACTGTAGAACATCCTTTTTTATCGCGCAGCTATAAATTTAAGAGGGGCTTAACGCCGTGGTTTAATTAAACTAGTTTAGCCGTCATTCTCTTCCCTAAGCCTTCTCCTACGTGCTGTGCCTGAATCGATTGGATACCTTCGTCCTACAATTTTCTTTATCGTTAATCCAGCAGGATGTTAAATTAATTTTAGGTAGCGCATATTACCTACAAAGCGCCAAGTATAATAAGATGCGCGCATAGCGAAATGGACACGATGGCAAAAGTTTTCTAATAATCTATCCGCGAAAGTTTCTCATCTACTCTTCCCGCTATTTTAAATACAACAAGCAGTCAATAATGCTGGAAAAATATGTAATTATATTTTTAGTTTGGTTACGTCAGACATTAGATTATTAATATAGTATCGCTCATCGTCCGAGGATAGTTATAAGGTAACTTCAACATTAGTTTCCTGCTTCGTAAAAGATCTTTGACATTTACGAGCTCACTACGTTTACGGTTTTAGTAATTTATGAAGATTTAAATGCTGTCTATATATTAATGATATAATTTTATTGCTATCTATATTAATGATATAATTTTGACGTAATTGACGTATTTTCAGAAACTTTTTCATATTCGAAAAAGAAAGAGAAGAAAAGAGATTATTCATAAATCGTATATAATATTAATTAGATTCTAAAAATTACTCTAAATTTGAATAATATTGAAGATGATTAATTTGAATAATTGTTTAAAATTGCTCTTGTTCTCTAAAATCTGTTTTTCCTTGTTCTCTACGTTACTTTGAAATCGCGTACGCGTATGTCATTTGATGAACACAATTACGACTATGTAATAGTGCGAGAGATTTTAATCACAGAACAGTATTCATATCGCTAATGATATGCATAAACCATGGCTGCGTACCAGTCGAATTAAAATTCTTACAATTATGATTTACATTGAAGATCCGACTGCGATAAAATAACCTGTCGTGTGTGTTATTTTAATTTTTCAATACTCGTATGTAACTGTCGGCGTCGCGACACATTGCACACTCCGTAGTGCCTCAAGGACAGTTTCGATGAGTGCGAAGTGCCCGTTTAATTATGGGACATCGGAGAACCTTGCTAATGATATTCAGAAGCACCTTTCCATTTATATCCCCCTTTATCGACTACATCATACTTGAGTTTCGTGGAGTCGATGTTCTCGAGGGCAAAGCCGGAACGCGGTCGAGCAAAATTTCCTCGGATGAAGTCGACGATAATAATCCGCTGTTTAAAGTTCATAACAACCTCGTGACGAGGGACCGTGGAGATTTGATTTAATTCGTCGCGTCACGATCTTCGATCCGCAAAATACTACGTGGCGCGGCATGGAATCTTAAATATAGAATATCTTGACACTTTTATTGTAGTGAAATTCCTAGGCGTATAGAAAAGTATAGAAGTACTATAATATTTTATGACGAAAGAATTTTCTGTTATCTAGAGAAATTTTAACTTTTGTGTGATGAATAACATATCATGCGTGATGGCACAACATAGTACAGTGCCAACTAGCGTTTCTAACAAATTCTCCCGTGTTATTGATACACCAGCAAACCGGCACATTTGTCGGTTGCAAGCACCTCGTGCTTCGACTCCGACGTACCGAAAGGGTTAAGCTCAGTTGTAAATCAGACATAACTAGTGACGTAACGGAGCGATATTACTCACTTGGCTTATCCAGATCGGATAGTTCCACAGGCGGCGAGTATGCGGCTACCAAGACCAGCATCGTCGTCGTCGTTGTCACGACACTCCACCACCGCCACCTCCACCACATTTTGTCCCCCTTTCACGTGCACTGCACACACCCTCGACCCCCTAACGGTCGGCGGCCCCCCCCTTCAGTCGTTACGTTGTCTCACGGCCGTTGCGAGCTGGCGCTAATTGCAACTCTCGACGTTGCTGCCGTTCTCGTCGTTGATGCCGTTGTCGTTGATGTTGCTTCTGCTGCTGCTGCATTGCGCTGCCATCCACATCGTCCACTGCTCTTTGCTGTCGTTGTTGCTACCGTAGCCGTCGTCATGAACCGACATGCCACGTAGCCGTCCCCTATCTATCTTGTTGCTCACCTATCCGTCGTCATTTAATGAGACTGGCTATTGGTCTTTTGAGATTCTCAAGAATGAAATCTCTAACGACGATGCATGCTATCGCCATACGGTGTTCCCATCTTATTCAACGATCTTCGTTCTTCTCTCTCCTATCATGTAAGATTCTTCTTTTCAGATGGAACGATTTGAGCGCGCGATCGATCTCTCCGGCAGATTTTCCGATGTAGACGTAATTCTTCAAACGCAGATATCACGAGTAGTTGAAACTTTATCCGCTTCGCGCCATTTACGCCGTTTGTTATCCCTTTTTTTTTATTCCATGACCGATGCGTTCTGTCAGGGAAATTTTTCGCCACTACAGGATTCCATGGAGCATGTTGGGCGAACGGATGATCACTGGATTTGTCGGATAAACGGATCCGTAACGGAGCGAAGTCTCTCCTGACAGGCTCTGAGTGGCGATTGTAGTTTTATCGTTGTAGAATACAAGTTCCTTTCGAAGGCGATTTCCTACAAATTCTGAGCGCCTCTGTCTCTACGTCTGTCGCGAATTCCGCTAACGCGTTCAATCGCACAATAAATCTCCGCGGAATGAGACAAGATATCCACTGGGCCTTTTGAAAGCTGAACTTGCAAAGTCGACGTGTCTCGATATTCCGATAGTTGAAACTTCAGCACGACATACGTTCAACTGCAATTGTGATCTGCGGCCCAATAAATGTTCAAAACAACTCAGAAAGTTTATTTGCGACACCACGCGTTCGAAAATAAAAAGATTCAATGCGAAGATAAATTTTAGGACACTCGTAAAAATCATTCGTCTCAAAATCGAATAATTTCTTCTAAACTTTGTGCAAGTGGTGAAATGGAATAAAGCTGTTTGTCCGCTAACTATCGAGATTATGCGGATGTCGAAAATTTCGAAACGATCGAAACGTGGAACAAATACGAGTATATCATCTCTCTTTACCACTGATTGTATTTCCTGCTATATTTCGTTTTTATATTTCGGCACATTGGTCTCATCGAACAACAGTCGAATCAATGATGAATTGCGTGGCGAAGTTATACTCAACGCATCGACACTGTCGATTAAAATGCCGCAAATAGACTTCAGTAACGCGCGTTGCTGATTAATTGAACATAGTGCGACACAGGAATTGCAGTGTTTTATACTTGGAGCCGTCCGTAGGGCCGATCAAGGGCGTCGATCTTTTCGCACTTACCCCTCGATCTCGAGACGACTAAGCGTGCACCGAGCGAGCATGTGCGTTACGCACGCACTTGTAAGTCGATCGTACATTCACCCGAAAAGATGAATTCTCAAAAGCAGCATTTAAAAAAAAGGTTAAGTGAAGACTCGCGAAATCCACTCGCATTAACTTCAGTTTAAACACCGGGGAAAACGCGATCTCGCCACCGCGTTCTTTGCTGATCGTAACTTCCGGATCATTGATCGGCACTTACAAAGCAAGATAATCGCGAAGTCGCGAAGATAATCTGTGGACGACCCATGGATGATGACACCACGCGTTTTTGCTCCGATTTTGATTCATAGATCACCTGCCCGCGTCGCGTACCGTCGTGAGGCGTACGATAATAAACCTCCCTCGCGATGAAGCCACATCGAGTCCTGACCCGCGGCGGCTCGGTACTGAAACCATTGAATATCGCGAGGAACCCTCGCGAGCCGTGTCGGCTTTCTCCGCTCGTGCTCGGCCATCTTCGGACGCTCGCGCCGTCCGTCCCGTTCTGGACCGCAGCTTTGTCCTCCGCCTCTCGCTCGCTCGTGCGTTTTGCTCCGAAACTCCCACATTCAGCGCGCATCTCCCGTCTTCGTCGCGGAGACCGCTATGATTTACAGGCGCAGCTAATGAGTCGCCATAATCGCCACGCGGTCCAGGCACGGATATGCGTGAACGTAAGATTTTCGGCAGAAACATGGTAGAATGCGACACGAAAGTCAGTAGTGGGACAGAATGTCAGGGTCGTTACATTCTTACGAAATTAATGAGGTTTCGTGACAGGAGAAGAAATTCTTGCTTAAAGGAATTGAACTGACTTTCAAAACGTAGATTTCACCGAGAAAACGAACGCGGAATGTAAAATATGTGATGTTTCCTAATTAACGTATCCAATCAACTTGATTACGTCCTGCTATTCGTATATTTCCAATACTTCTTTTCCCACCGGATTTATAGACCTCGAAGATCTATAGAACTTGCGTGTACTTGTTGAAAGAGGATATTGCACATAACGATAAATATGTCCTCCAAGAATGAGAACATGTACTTACGTCATAGAGTGTGTTCATGAAAACTGATAGTTCGTGCGTATCTGGCGCATGCACGAGATAACGGCCCTCGAAGCTTCATGACTCTCTCTACGAGAACTCGCTCCAATCACGATAAATTCCGGCTTTCGTGTTTCCATCGCTATCGGCAATCGCCTGCAAATCACTTCCTAATCCTCATCGAGTAGGTATCTACGAAGGTACCCTTCCTAAATCCGCTTTGAATGTTCAAGAATGTTCCTATATAGGTACGTGTCCTATATCGTTATTTTCTCATCTGCCATACAATGTCACTTAAATATTGACTTTTCTTTTATCTCGGACTTTAATAATATGTAATAAAATGTGCAACTAAACTTTGTATGATATTATATACCGGGCGGTATTTACTTTTGCAACTAGAAATTATAAGCTAATATTTTCTCTCAAAAATTCAAATATTTTTCTTGCATCGACTATTCCGTTGCGTTCGCTTTTCAAATATAATTACATGAGAGTCATATTAAAATAAACACGGTGAATAAGAAGTTTCTTGCGAATGTATTATTAACATATTATTTTATTAATTATTTTATTAATTATTAATTGATGAAAAAAAACGATCACATTAAATGATATTTAGACATTGTTATGTTAATACCTATTTTCATATTTTAGTAAATTTTATATATTAATTCATGATTATATATTAGATTTTATTATATATGCGATTCCATGCACACAGAAAATCGATATACAATAATAAACAATATTTAATAACGTTTATGCATCCTAATTACATCAATATCCGAAGCCAATCATAATTGACGTATATACATCGCTATTTACCTAACGTTTCGTAACCTTGATGAAGTTATGCATTCTAATTGACGCAACATTGATCTAAAATATTTGTACGAATAAATATTTCATTATCGTTAGTAATAAAATATAAACCAAAACATTACGTTTCAATGTATTTGAATTATAAAAGCACAAACATTATTTAGAGGACATAACTAGTTCGATCGATTTGACGAAGTGTGGTGACACGTAGGTAATCGATTCTCGGGTCATTGATCCGAAACTAGCGAATTAATATCCCGCTGAAAATAACTCTTGACATATACAATAAAGTACAATCTCCTTTTAATTAAAGGTTTTTCCTCACGGATAGATTTTTCCTGTAGTTGCATTCCTTAACGTTTTGGAATATCCAGCCAACGCGTTTCGCTTAGTCCACGTCAAAAGAGCATCTTGATATATAACGTTGATATTTTTCATATTAACAATACGCACACGTGTTACTTATGCACGCGGCCGTAAAACCGTGCGCTTCTACATCGAGTTAAAAGTAATCGTTCAAAGAGGCGCAATCGGCGGTCCTCATCTACCACATGCACACAAACTGGACGCAGCGTGCTTCGTTTCATCCCGAATCGCCGATATTTTACATCAGGCACAGAGCCTGCTTTCATGGATGCCCGGCGAATTGGAACTCGACACCGCGTCATGCATCATGGTACATCGTCGGACACCCAGGCTGTTAACCCAAAGCGTAAGCTGGATACGATGTTATAGGCTTCCCTGTGTACTCTTCGACTTGTCGAATAAACCATGAAGCCTGTCAGTCACATTGCCTCCTCGTCTTCCCGACCACCAACGCTTTCGCGTCTCTCAATGGAATCTGAAAATCGGGTTTTACCCGTCGTTCGACAGGTGCCACAAAGGCAATCGATTATACCGCGCGGGTCTGAGAGCGGACTCCAATTCGGATATCTTAATTGCACGCCCTCTCATTTTTGCTTTGATAACTACATTTTAATTCCCGTCTTTATACACGCTCGGACTTTAATGACGACAGTGGTTGCGATCGATACACAACGACGAGTACCGAAGAAAGTGCCTCCTCGCCCTCTTCAACGATATTAAGTACACATTTTCCAATTACTCGCGCCAAAAGAAAACACGTGCCAACTTGACATTCCCTCTCGATCGTTACGATTGAGGCTCGTTAAGTCGGCTTTCCAATAATACATAAAAAAATATACGTAAAATATTTGTTGAAAGCTACGGTAAGCTACAATGTACTTCGATATGAATGTCGCGCGATTTAGCCACGCACTTCTCTTCTTACCGTACCATTTAACAAATAATCTCGACGTTCGTGCGCTTTCCACTGTCTATTGTGCTCGCAAATCACTCGCATCCTTGTGAATAATGGTCCCGTGTCTCTTATTACTGCGATTTTCGCAGAGTCACAATAATGCTCTCTTTGCGGTGTTGTGAAAAAAAAAGAAGAATCCAGATTCCTAAAATCTCTCTAGTAGAGTGGAGGCGAGCGTTGGGATGCGAAAGCGCAGCGTTTCTGTTCGATCATAAGCGCGTCATTAATCACCGGACTAATGGCTCTCACTATTTCCACTATTGTCGCCATTATCGACAAAATCGATCGGGGAAATGGAAAACCGCCCCGTTCGTTTGTTTCGCCTGAAAGAAACGAGCGGGTTGGCTAAGTAGAGGGTGAGAAACACTCGATGGTCCCGTAACAGTTAACGATGGAGCGAGATGGCCGGGGAGTAACGCGAATGGCGTAGGGAACGGGAAGGGCCGTTCCAGAATTTATGCTGGTGTTTACGCGAAGTGGACGGCCTTCCATAGTGCGAAACGTGATGGGTAAGGATAGTTATTACGATCTATCGAACTACCGTCTTTCGTCGAAGAGACGGAAAATTTTGTCTCGTCTTTTTAGATCAGTTTGTTGTATTTCCTGCATGTATCTTGCACCGCTATGCGATTTTTCTCTCTTTATTCCGAAACAATTATTGGAAAAAAATAGACGAGAAAAATGGCGAATCGGCGCCGATTTTCAGAGTTATGACCAAGTTTTTCTTAACTTTCTAAGGACTAGGTACGTCGAGGCGGCAATGTTCCTGAATATCCATTACTTCGTGCAATTTCCAGAACCCCCCGGCCGCAATCAGAGAAGGAAAATGACTGCCCTAATGTAATTTTACGAGATTTCCGTCTTTTGCGTCCGGAAGTTTCCTGATTTAGCGTCGAATGTTCTCGGACGCTGTATCCCTTTGGTTTTTAGTTATGAAGTATTTTAAAATGAATTATCAGTATGAACCGCGCGCTAGCGGAACAGACGTTATTGAACTGGGCCGTGGTAAAAGTTATGAATTACTTCTGGAGAAGTAGCAAAGTCGGGCGAACTTTCGTGTAGCCGAAATCAAGTTTAACATCAACTTACGCCACGTTTCACACTTACGTTTCTCTGAGATATCACTTCAGATTCCACTAGCCATATGTTCGTATGAGAATTTCGGTTTTTGCCGAAAAACCTCATACATCAAAATTCATTGCTCCTTTATCACTTACATTGCCGTAACTCTCAGAAACTGCCGTTACAACTTTAGACCAACTATTGCATAATTAAACGTAACGTTAAAACTGCACGGTCCATCGTGCAACGTAATTCACGAAACGATATCAAAATTAAATTTCACAGCGTTGTTTTTATTGGTTTTTTCGTATGCACAAATTATTATCGTGCGATTCATCTGAAATATTTTAACGTCCATACTTTTTTGCATTTGTTTGAGTAACCTGCGGCGAGGGACATGGCAAAAAGGTGTGAAAGGCGAGAGATGCCGCGATCACCTCATGAAAAACGTGTTCGGGCAACGATAATGGAAGACAAGGCGTGCTACGAATATCACGTTCTTTCGCACGAAGCGATCTGCATCTTCGTTACACCTGCGCCGCCCCATGAGAATCCGTGGACAAACCACGCATTATGCAGATAACGCGTTGTTCGATGAACGAAAATCATGTGGTCTCACCTTCGGCTCTCTCCCTTTCCTCTTGTCCCATTACGAGTCCCGCATTTTTACGAGAAAGAAAGGCGGAACTGTCAAATGCA